TTTTTTTTTTTTTTTTTTTTTTTTTAAGGATGTTTACGAAAGTTTTAATGTCCTTATGCGGAGAAAACCAAAAGAAAATAATTTTAAAGCTGTGTTAGAAACTATTCGTCATTTAATGAATACAGAATGTGTAGTGCCAGAATGGATCCATGATATAATTTTAGGTTATGGTGATCCATCTGCTGCACATTATAACAAGTAGATTTCAATATTAGATAATTAAGATTAAAACTAATTAGCTATTAAGAGATGCTTAAAATTGATTTTTTTTATATTTAGAATGCCAAATAGAATTAAATCAATGAACTTCAATGATACATTTTTGGATATAGATCATTTATTATCAAGTTTCCCTTCTTGTGAAGTAATTCCATTTAATGGCAGTGTAAAAATTAAAGAAATGTTGCCACCATTTAGGTAAGTTATGAATAATTAAGTAATAGTAACCTACTTAGCTTAATTGGAATGTGTAGGAACCGTGATACAATTATTTTACAATAGACTATATAGGTCTTTCTGACTTCTATTTTATAAGCATAGCTTATAAGAGAGAAAATTACATCTAAAAAGGATAATAAAAATAAATTATTTCATTCTGTTGTGTTTTTAATATGAAAGGCCACATAAAATAGTTAAACAGAAAATAAGTCTTTATTGAGAAACAATATAATTGTTAATAATGCGTATGCCAGTGTTAGCACTTACATGTAGTAAACAATCCCCACTACTAATTTACATAATATTCATCAATACGTAACACATTCTATTAAATAATATTTATTTTTTAGGATACATTTTCAAGAAAATAATGACTTAGATGTTAAAAAAAAAGTTATAGTACAGTCAATAAAAACTGTTAATAGGGGTCCTTATCAATTTAATCTACCAAAAAAGTAACTTTTGCTTCTTAAGATAAACAAAAAATATTTGTATTGTGATAAATTATTTTTTAATAGAAATACAATTCGTTTCACTCCTACTCAAATTGAAGCAATATATTCTGGAATGCAGCCAGGGCTTACTGTAGTAGTTGGACCCCCAGGAACAGGAAAAACTGATGTTGCTGTTCAAATCATTTCAAATTTGTATCATAATTGGAGGAATGAACGAACAATGATTGTTACACATTCAAATCAAGCATTAAATCAATTATTTGAAAAAATAATGGCCTTAGATATTGACGAAAGACATTTGTTACGTTTGGGTCATGGTGAAGAAGCTCTAGAAACTGATAAAGATTTTAGTCGGTATGCATTTTATTTATTTATAAATATATACATATTGCCTCAGAACAGTTTTTACAATTATTATAACTAATGGGAATACAAATGGATAACAACATAATATGCTAAACTTAAAATTTTAATTAATTAGGTACTGTTTACAATTAAATCAAATGAATGAATAAACTATAATTTTGCTAGTAAATAAGTGTATAAAACATCTGTGAAACACAATTATTAGTTTGGGGGATATTTAACAATTATAAGAAAAGTAATTCTGAATACATGATTAAAGAATTCATTTATTTATATAGACAAGACACAACATGAAACCTCCTTCTTTTTTGAAGCTATTCACAATGCTCATCTACTAGTTGCTCAAGATATACATTATTTCTATTAGATTTAAATGCAAGTACATACCAAAATATATTTGAACACAATTAATTTAATTGATTAAATCAGGTTGATACGGGTATTAAATTATTAAGCCATATTCTAACATTGAACAAGAGTGAAATATAATATTTTAAAGTAATTTAGATTTTTAAATTCTGAACAATTATGCTTTATTAAACATAATATTTGAAAAGTCTTATTACACACCATAATTGTGTGTTGATTAAAACATAAATCAATTGATATTAGTACACTTAAATATTTTATCTAAGTTACAATTAATATTTCTAAATTATTTATTGTATAGTGAATATTTATCTTTGTTTACACAGTTGAAATAAAATTTATGAGCATTTCTCTATGTTAACGTTTAGACTATTTAACAAATACCAATAATCTAAATCATTTTGTAATTTACTATAATCGTCATATGTACAAAAAGACATAAAGTTTTATATCATTATTGAACATTAGTATATGACAAATTTTGAAAATAACATTTATAAAATATAAATAGTATGTAACATGAGACATATATTAAATGAGACAAAATTACCCAACTTTATTTGCTATGTTCTACCAACCAAGTAAGACTTGATCCACTTTAAAATTTGTTCAGCAATACCTTTACATTGAAATTTATTTTCCAAAACTAACAAGTAAACATTATTAAATACTTTCATAATATCATAGATTGCTTCAACCTGTATACCTTTACTATAAATAATGTAAGGTTAGACTTAATAATATTTGCATGTAATTTGGCCTAATTATTAATGGGTTAACATTATTTATAGTTATGGAAGAGTAAATTATGTTCTTGCAAAACGACTTCAACTTTTGGATGAAGTACAACGTTTACAACACATAATGAATGTAAAAGGAGATATGTCATATACATGTGAAACTGCTATGCACTTTTTCTGGTCACATGTCTTACCTCAATGGGATACTTACCTTACTACTTTGAAAAATCTTGAAGAAAATACTGATAATGTAATTTAAACAAATATACATAAATTATACAATTGTTTTTATGATATATAATCATAAAAATAACAAATGCATTAATTTTAAAATTAATATTGTAGGCAATTGCTGTAACTGCAGTGCAAGACATTTTCCCATTTACATTGTTTTTCAGTGATGCTCCTCAACCATTATTTAATTGTCGTAGTTTAGAAGAAGACAAAGAGATAGCTAGAGGGTGTTTTAGGTATACAGCAAAATTTTTAAATAAAATATTGGTTCTATATAGTTTATTTATTTTTCATATTAGGCATATTAAAAAAATATTCAAACAATTAGATGAATTTAGAGCATTTGAATTACTTAGAACTGGCCTGGATCGTTCAAGATACTTACTAGTAAAAGAAGTGAAAATAATTGCAATGACCTGTACCCATGCTGCATTGAAAAGAAAAGAACTTATAGAACTTGGTTTTAAATATGATAATATATTAATGGAAGAATCTGCTCAAATACTAGAAATAGAAACATTTATACCTTTGCTACTTCAAAATTCGGATGATGGATTTAGTCGCTTAAAAAGATGGATAATGATTGGTGATCATCATCAGTTACCTCCTGTTATTAAAAATATGGCTTTCCAAAAATATTCCAATATGGAGCAATCTTTGTTTACAAGAATGGTAAACTTAGGTGTGCCTACTATTGATTTAGATGCCCAAGGTCGAGCCCGTCCAAGGTATATTTTAATAAAAAATAGATATGTCTAGTATAATTTTATTAAGCAAAAAACTTATTTTATTCTTCATAAAGCTTTTGTTACATTTGAACCACATATTTAAATAAATATAGTTAAAAAAAAACTGAAAAACACCCTTTTTGAAACATACCAAACTAAAAAGTTAAAAATAATTTTTAAAATAAGCTTAAAACAATAATGAATAAAAAATACTGGTATTATTTTGAGAAAAAAACGTCAGGCGCTTAATATACAAAAAATATGGCACAAAGCCCCTGCAATTTTTTTCACAATAATACTAGTATTTTTCAGTCATTATTGTTTTAAGCTTATTTAAAAAAATATTTTCAACTTTTTAGTTTGATATGCTTTAAAAGTGTGTTTTTCAGTTTTTTAAACTATATTTATTTTTACTTTTTTATGACATCGCTGTCACAGTCACAAAGTGTTTCTTGTCAATTATGACTATCAATAGGTATAATATTTGTATTGCCAGTTAGTGTGTTTATAAACTCACAACAATGTGTCTTATTATTATTGATAATAAAGGCTATATAACTGCGAATATCATCATAAAAAACCAATTAGCTACTTGTATTTGTAATCCCTTATGTATTATACATGTATATTATCTCAAAAAAAATTTGGCTCACTGGCAAATAACATTTGTTCCTATATCAATTTTTTTTAATAACCCACTCACGAGTTACTCAGTAGCGTTTTATACCTAAGAGCCATGACTCAATGCAGTTTAAGCCACCCATAACAATATTATTTAGGCAATTAGTAGCTTATGTTTTATTTAGTTATGGACACCTATTATAGTTACATCCAGCAGTTGAAAAACAATAACTATATTATAAACAACAATTTAATATATTATTTTAACTTATTAAGTTTTATATTAATATGAAAATCAAACATACTTTTTTATTAACAACTAAATATTAAATTTTAAATAATTTTTTGATAGAAAAAAATTTTAGTTTATTTTACAAAAAAAAAATTATCATAATTTCACTTATCAAAACAACTTTTATTGTCAATATAGATTTCTGCAAAAAAACCTAATAATTTTGATTAATTTTTTTTAACTTATTTAACTAGTATTTATTTCTTGATTTATAAGTAGTTAAATTGTTTGTAGATCATTCTTTATACCTTGTAAGGGTACCAACTATATTTTTTTAATGACAACATACATATTTTAATAGTTTAACTATTAGAAAACTAATCTAAAAAAAAAAAAAAGACAATTTCTGGTTAATATCATATTTTGAACTAGTTTTCAGGACTTCTGAACATTTTTATACTTGGGTGGGATGATGGACGTACCAATGTGATGAGCAATTATAAAAATGACATTTGCACCTCAACTCTAGTCTACATTTAAAAATGTCAGTAAATTCTGAAATACTGGTTCAAAAGTTGTTATCTACCAGTAATTTTCTTGTCCTAATATAACAAAAAAATAAAGAACAGAACTCAATCTTAAAAAAGGTTTTAGTACTAGTAAAGGAACAATTAATAAATTCAATAGATTGAATAAAAATACCAATATTATAAATAATTTAAAAAAAATAGAATTCTAGATTTTCATAGCTTAATTTATTATCATAATATTTTAAGTATTCTTTTCTTTTTATTAATTTGTAAACAGCCATTTCCAGATTTTTTAAGTGGAACAAACATCTTGAAGTTATTAAAAATAAGTTAATTTACAATTCATTGATCAAAGAATTTCTATTTTCTTAGGAATAAAATTACAAAAGAGGGGGCAGCAAAATTTATTGGCTCAGTGTATCTAATTTTAAAATATTGTGCTTGGATTATTTAATAGTCTGATTCAAAATATTAAATTGTTTTCTCCTATCAAAATGTATAAACACTCACAATAAATAATAAGTATAATTAAATATGTATTATTCACATATCACACCATCAGAAAAATTATACTTATTACTCTCCTATCACCAGGATGTTAATTAATTGTAACAAAGTTCCTAATTTTGATTTTTTTAGTACTTTATTATCTAAATTATATTCAATAACCATATTTTTGAAATAAATTATTTTAATATGTATTTAACATTATTTCATTGATTATTTGTGTATTGTATATTAATTAATGTTAATTATTTTTTTTTTTGCTCTTTAGGGCTAATAATTATACATATTTGATACATTGCACTATACATAAGATTAATTATGTTTTCAGTTTAAGTGAATTATACAATTGGCGCTACAATAATTTAGGCAATCTTGGTCATGTTTTGTCAACTCCAGAATATCACATAGCAAATGCAGGTTTTTGCTATGAATATCAGTTGATTGATGTAGGTTTGTTTAATGGTGTGGGAGAAACAGAACCAAATCCTCATTTTATTCAGGTAAGATTCTTTTTAATTAACTAAGAAAATAATGAAAAATTTTTTATTTTAGAATTTAGCAGAAGCTGAATACTGTGTGTCTGTTTATATGTATATGAGACTTATTGGATATCCTGCTGATAAAATCACTATTTTAAGTACTTACAATGGTCAAAAACATTTGATAAGAGAAATTATTAACATGCGATGTGGTTCTAATCCTCTTATTGGATGGCCTCATAAAGTATAAATTTTAAATTCAAATCAATTGTTATAATTTAAATGATTATTGAAATATTTATAAAAAAAAATTTTCTGACATTACATTAAACATTAGGTAACTACAGTAGATAAGTATCAAGGTCAACAAAATGATTATATTCTGCTATCATTAGTTAGGACAAAAACTGTTGGTCATTTAAGAGATGTAAGGCGTCTTGTTGTTGCTATGTCAAGAGCTAGACTAGGTCTCTATATATTTGCCAATGCTTCTCTTTTTGGTAACTGTTTTGAGCTATCCCCAACATTCAATATTGTAAGTTTCTATATTTAATTTTTAATTATTCAACTTAATATTTTTTTAAATAAATATTACATAGAAAACTAATTTAACTAACTCATATTATTTTCAGTTATCAAAACGGCCACTTAAGCTACATTTATTACCATCTGATTCTTACCCAACAAATAGATCATTAGAAAATATTCAATATTCCCTTAATGATGTTTTTGTAGTTCAAGATATGCCAGAAATGGCAAAATATGTATTTGATTTTTATTTACAAAGAGTTCAGATTTTGAAACAAATTCACCTAGTAATCCAACTATTAATTATAGATATGATTTTAACCAAATTTCAATTCATTTAAATTTTTTATTTAATTGATATTTTAGGAAAAATCTAATGAATGGATTAAACCTGGTACTGTAGAATTTGTAAACAAAAATAAAAACAAGTCATATGTTAAAGAAGTATCTAAAGCGCACTTGAAAGATACTCATGAGGATAAAACAGAAACTAATTCTATGGATGTTGATGAGATTATAAATGAAGACTAACTTTTTCTTGTTTAAGTACTATATTCTTGTAAAATAATTGTGTAAATAAGATATTGAATTATAAACTTACTAATTTTTAATTTTCACTACAAAAATTTAATTTGTTTCCATTTTTAATATAAAATTATTTTACTTTTAAATTGAAGGAAGTACACTACATTTTTATTTGTATACATTAAATTTAAATTTAAATGATTCATTAACATATGTTGATATATTTCAAATATAAAATTGTTATTTTCATATACCCAAATCAGTATCGTATTTAGGGGACAATATGGACAATTCCCCCGAGATATATTTATTTTAATTTCTACATTTTTTTAGTGAAAGGGGGTTGATTAACCATAATGTCGCCCTTCCCCCTCCCATGCTACAGACTCAAGTACGCCTCTGACCGAAATAGTAAAAGGCTGGTAAAATTAAACTAGTTAATTCTATTAGTTTTTAAGTTTAAGGAAGATACTATTTTTAGAATGACAGTCTTCATGTATTTTTATCTATATTTCTCCTTGGTTTGTTAATTAACAAAATTTTCTTTTTTTGTTATTGGAAGAATTCCACTTCTGATAATGCTAATATATAATAATACGGTACAGTGAATTCCTTATAATAATGAATTTACATTGATACAATTCTCAAAATTGCTACTATGTTTAAGTTTTTTATTACTACAAAAATATAATTTAAATTAAATTAAAAAGACAAGTATATTTTTTTACTTAAATAATTTATAAAACAGATTAAACGATTGTTTAAAAAAATATAAAAAAACATCTAACTAAAGAAAAATAATTTTTAAATCAATACCTCCTCAACTTCACACCAAAATTCATGAGAATAAATAATTTATTGTATTTGAGGAAAGCAGGCTTCTTGATCATATATTTAAAAGAAATAACGATATTTATGAAAATAAAATAGTTAACGTTTTAAAAGATATAATAAATCAAGATAATAGTGAAACCAAACTCAAAATATTATTGTAAATATGTGTAAAACAATATTTTGTTTCTCTCCGAGAAATTTGCTTTATTATAATGATTATTTAATAATTTTTTTTTCTCTAATGCATTTTTTAAAATGGCAAAGACGAAATGGTCTTAAAACTATTGAAATGACGAATCAAATTAAAAATAAAATTTTAGTTTCAAATTCCTTATTTTTTAAGAATATGGTACATAAACAGCGTAAAATTCTTTTTTTTGCTTTATTGAAAAGCAACGTATTTGTTGACTTATGCCCTTTAACTTATGTACCGCCCAATTATATCGTATTTTAATATTGATATATTTTATCTGAAAATACAATCGTATTAAAATGTGTAATGTTTTTATACCTTTTATCATAAAATACTATTTGTAATGGTATAAGTAATGAAAACTGAAACTAATAATATTATAACAAGTTACAAATTCATTATTAAGTTAAATGAGATAATATGTAAATTGTTTTCTAAAGCTTTTTATTTTATAATATAATGATTATTTTATTAATAATATTAAGTTTTAGTTTTATAACTTGTTCAAATTCAGCTGATATATTAGTAATATTTCCAACAACTGCTCAGAGTCATTACCGTGTTATTCAACCACTTATCCATAGTCTTTTGGATAGAGGACATAGTATATTATCAATTACAAATTTTCCTGATTCTGAATATAGAGCTAATTTGTCTCATATTGACATTTCTAGACTTAAACCTCATACTAAATTTAGTGCTGGATCTCATACTTTGTTTCCAAGTAATACTTTTACTCGCATAATTAATAATTTAGATAATTATGGAAGAATTCTTAACTATAAACCAGTAGTAAAGCTTTTACAATCCAAACGAAAGTTTGATTTGGTAATTGTTGAAATTATGACTTCGACGCCAATTTTTACACCTATTGCTGGAGTAGTAAATGCACCAATTATAGGTGTTTGTCCAATGTTTTTATTTCCATGGATTAAGAAGGTGATTGGAGAGCCAGAAGTAGTATCCTATATGCCAAACTTTTTTCCAATGTCTAACTATACAACAGAAAGTTCAGTCATTCAACGAACTAGTAACACTCTATTTCATTTGTTTTATACAGGATTATTTGACTGGTTGTTTTCTATAAAAGTACCAGTCAAAGTTGAAAAACATTATGGCATTAGGCTATCTACATTAGAATCTATGAGTAATATAAGTTTAATACTTCTTAACTCACACTTAAGTATTTTTCCAGCTGTACCTCATGCGCCTGGAATCATAGAAATTGGAGGCATTCATATTGTAGACGTCAAACCTATTCCTAAAGTAAAATATATATTCTATTTATTTTGATTTCAAGCTCTATAAAATAATCATGAAATTATAGGATTTGGAAGAATTTATTGATGATTCTAAAAATGGTGTTATCATATTTAGTTTGGGATCTATTGTTTCTGAGGATACAATAGGACAAGACAAATTAGATTCTATATTTGACATATTTTCTATGCTAAAAGAAAGAATAATAATGAAATTAGATTTAAAAAATAATATTACTTCACCTTCAAATGTGAAAATTGTCAAATGGTTACCCCAAAGAGACCTCTTAGGTAATACAAATATTATTGTAATTATAATTATTACATTTCATTTCTCATTTTTGCATTGTTATTTTTTAGCTCACCCTAAGGTATTATTGTTTATTTCACATGGAGGCTTAATGAGTGTTTTTGAAGCAGTTCATTGTGGAAAACCAATAGTTGGTATACCAATTTTTGGTGATCAACCAGCCAATATTAAGTATTTGGTTTATAAAAAAGTAGCAGTTTTAGTTAGTTATGAAAACCTTGGTACATCAATATTTAATGAGGCAATTCAAACTGCATTATCTACAGAATTTAGGTACTTCAATTAATTACTTTACGTATATTAATCCCATTATTATTATTATTCATAATAATTATAATTAAAGACTGGACTATATGCAATTAGGGGCCATGGTTATCCATTGAATGCCATATTTATCCTTAAAGTGAAGTGATGAGAAAAAATTTTAAATATGGGTTTTTATAAATTTTTTGACTACCCCATAAGGAATTATTGGGTTCTCTACTGCATCCCACTTATCCTATTTTACTAGCACTAAAGAAAACTATAATAATTGAAAAATGAAACTTATAAAATCTTTTTAAATAGACTTAAAAAACCAGTACACCTGGGACCCATTATAGTGAAGTCCTAGTATAGTAGACATCATTAATTAATTAAAATCTGACTGTTTAACATGACAATCATAAAACACTTCAATACAATTATGCTATTAGAAAATCATTTTGTAGAATTTTTAGAGAAAGAGTTTATTAATTCTCAGGTGATACTTTGAGCTTTAACTGATTATTTATAAAAGAAAGGTTGCTAGGACAAATTGTTTTTTAAACATTAAATCTTAAAAGGATAGGATTCTACCAGAACATTAACAAAGTTAAAATATAAAAAATATTTTCAGTCAGAGATAATATGGGTGTTTTGGTGTATAATTGAGTACTACAAAATAATAATTTGTTCAGTAGAAGCTGTGTGTACAAAGCAAAAAACACATAGTAAAAACAAAACTTTTTCAACTTCACACCAAAATTTATTTTAAATTAACAAGAACAAGTTACATTTTTAAGTATTATGACAGGGCTGTATTTTGGCACTCTTCATTTATATGAAATTATGGTAGTAAGGGACTGTGAAGGGGTGAAAATTTTTTGGATTTTGAAAGTTATATGAGAATTATTTTTGATATTTTTTTTTACCATAATTAATTACATTTTCAATTAAAATTTTCAAATATTATAAACTTTTTTGTTCTATTCTTTATAACTTAACCTATACCCTAGTTGGGGTATTAACTTTATATTTTTCAATGTCTACATATATATCAATTGCATAGTGTAAAAAAATACCCAGCACAGGGCGGTCGCGGCACAGTGGTGACGTGGCATAGTTGGATCAACTATAGATTTAATCTGATAGTGATTAAAATCACTATAAAAAAAATGCTTCGATACAAATCTATAGATAGTGTTTAATTTTAAAAAATTGGTGGATTATTCCAAAAGCTACATGATTTGCTAGTTCCTTCTTAATATCCTGATTAAGATAAAGTATGTCGAATGAAAAAGGGATTATTAAAAAATATTATTTCATATAAAAATTTGTATTGATCCATACATTTTTCAAAGAGTTATAGCGTTATAATGTTAAAAATGTAAAATATAAAGTCGAGAATTTTAACACAAAAATAGCCATTTTCACTGTGAAGACAAAATAAAGTCCAAAATTTTTTTTTTTTCATAAAAAATTACATTACATTAGCTTTAATTTAAGATATATATGTCAGTATTTCCGGAACACTTTAAAAAGTTAAGTTGAAATAGTAAATTTTTTTGTGAAAACTTTGTCATTTTGAATCCCCCCCCTTTGGGCTGGTAAAGGTTAAATTTATAAAAAAAATATACCAAATGATAGATAAAGACATCAAGCATCTATAAAAAAAAAAAAATTATATTGATTTGTTCATTTTTTAAAATTTTATGGCAGTTTTAAGTAAAAAAAATTGAAAAAATTTCGAAAATTAGCGATTTTTAAATTTGTAATTTTTTTGAAGATTTTATTTATTTACGGGGAATGATGGAATTTTTATTAATTTTTGAGGGTAATATCTTCTACTAGACAAGATTTGTGATCTTTTGACATATTGTTGAAAGAAATCGGTTCGGTGAGAACTAAGAAAAAGTGGTAACAGACAAAAAAAAAAATCATAGTAAAATTAATATCTTCTCAAATTCTCATTGAAGCTAAAAAAGTAAAATTTATATTATTTTTATTATTCAATTAAATTTTTTTATTTCAGTTGTTTATCCTTTCAACCTCATATTGTAATAAAAATATTTTTTTTTGGCTTTTATTAGTCCATTAAGGGCCATAGCGACCTCTCCCTAAGAGGTTTTCATAGCCATTTATACTCCGGGATAGGTGGTTAGTCCGGCGACTAAAATATTATACTAAAATTTTATTATTAATAATAATATAAAACCTTAATTTTGTTTTAGAAAAAATATGAAACAGCTTCAACAACTTTACTTTGATAGACCACAATCCCCTTTACAAACTGCATTATTTTGGACTGAATATGTGCTTAAAAATGAAAACTCAATTCCAGATGTCTTGAAAACTAAACAAATTTATTTAAATTGGTTTCAAACCTATTTATTAGATATAAGTGTCACTCTAACTCTTATTTGTTTGCTTACAATTTACTTTTTAAAAACTGTATTTGTGTTCTTTAATAATTATTCATACAATAATTAATTTATTAAAATATAATATTTATTAAAACCAAAATTTGTGTTTCGGTTCNATTATGATTTTCATAGATAAAATTAACATGAAACATAAGTTTTGTTTTAAAAAATAAAAACATTATTTTGTACTTTTTTTTTCATGCGAAAAATCAGATTAAATTTTACTTAAATGTAAACGGCAAGTTCCAAAATTTGCAGTTTTACACTTATTATTCACTTTTATCAAAACATCACTAAAATGGTTGAAAATAAAAAAATTTTTTATCCAATAAATCATTCATCTGTTACAAGTAATATATTTTGAAATCAATTGGCTAGTAATATTTCATTGTTAAGAAGTTTTAATTTTTATGTTTTGTTTCAATCATAATATTAAGTTAAAAAGAGGTGTTTTCATTTAAGAAAATTAAATTTAAGGTTTTCTTAATTAAATTATTTTTTTTTACTAATGACTTTATATATTAAAAACGGTAGCACAGTGGGGTTGAGGCACAGTGTGGACGAGGTATAGATGATATCTGACAGTGATTAAAATCACTATCATAAAAAACGCTTCGATGCAAATCTGTAGATAGTGTTTAATTTATAAAAAAAAAATTTGTTAAAATAGCATATTTTTGAATATGGTAGCCATTTGCGCATAGAAGATAGGTCGTCGTGACAAATTTTTTTTTTTCAATTTATAGTACATAAAATAAGCTTTAATTTGATATATGTTTAAAGGACGCAGTATTTCCGGAACATTTTCAAAAGTTCAGTTGAAAAAGATCTATGTTTTTTACAATATTTCAAGTTTTGAACGCCCCCTATAAAAGGGGAAATTGTCCAATTTTAATAAAAAGTATGTCAAATGAAAGATGTACTAATAATGTATTCATAAAAAAAAATTTGTGCTGATATATACATTTTTCAAAAAGTTATAGCATTTTTAAGTTGAAAATTTAAAATCGAAAATTTTAACACAAAAATAGTGTTTTTTTAACTACATCAGCCGTTTACATGCAGAAGATAAAGTGTCGGGACAAATTTTTTTTTTTCATTTTATAGTACATAATATAAGCTTTAATTTGGTATATGTTTAAAGGACGCAGTATTTCCGGAACATTTTCAAAAGTTCAGTTGAAAAAGATCTATGTTTTTTACAATATTTTAAGTTTTGAACGCCCCCTATATAAGGGGAAATTGTCCAATTTTAATAAAAAGTATGTCAAATGAAAGATGTACTAATAATGTATTCATAAAAAAAAATTTGTGCTGATATATACATTTTTCAAAAAGTTATAGCATTTTTAAGTTGAAAATTTAAAATCGAAAATTTTAACACAAAAATAGTGTTTTTTTAACTACATCAGCCGTTTACATGCAGAAGATAAAGTGTCGGGACAAATTTTTTTTTTTCATTTTATAGTACATAATATAAGCTTTAATTTGGTATATGTTTAAAGGACGCAGAACATTTTCAAAACTTAAGTTGAAAGAGGTAGTTTTTGTAAAAAAGTTACTATTTTAAATCACCCCCTTGAGCAGGTTAAGTGTTAGATTTTCAAAAAAAATGATATCAAATGAAAGGGAAATATCTAAGGTTTTAGTATAAAAAAAAATTATGTTGATTTGTTTATTTTTGAAAAAGTTATAGAAGTATTAAGAAAAAAAAGACAAAATTTACCGATTTTTAAATTTGTAATTTTTTTGGATATTTCCCCCATTTGCGGGGAATGAGGGAAAATTTTTTAAATTTTTAAGGGTAATGTCTTCAACTAGATACGATTTGTGATCTTTTGACGTATGGTTGAAAGAAATCGTTCCACTGAGAGCTGAGAAAAAGTGGCAACAGATATATATAAAAAAAAAAAACACATCATGGTAAAATTAATACCTTCTCAGCTTCGCATCGAAGCTAAAATAAAATTTTAGCGTAGCCTTAGAATACATAAATATTATAAAAAAAAAAGAATTACAACAAAATTTTAATTGTACCAAAGTTATAGGAGATCAGTTAGATCAGTTTCATATCTATATTATAGATTTTTTTATATTTATAATATAAAAAAACAAATGTATTTTTATATATTGTAAGCCATTCAGGTCAAATTACTTAAATTAATCTAGCTTATTTAAATATTTGATTAAAATGTAGAAATGATTTTTAACTATGAAACATAATTTATTTTTTGGTGTCAATTTTTGGTAACTACTAACATAATAACATCATATAACTAAATAAATACATATCTACTATTTGTAGGTTTATTGAATTAATAATTTCTTATTTGAATAAATCAACTTCATTATCTCGTCAACAAACATAATTGTAAATTTTATTTGATTTGATTATTAAAATCAAAAGATAAAAAAATTTAGATGTAACATTATAATTAATTTTTCTTTTATTCAATATTTTGTACAAAATAATAAATAACAAAAATAAAAATAGGATTCATTTATACATGATAGTTACTATTTAAATTTGTTTAATAAAATTCTAGTTATTATTAAAAACTGCATGTATTCATGTATAAATTTTTACTAATCTTAGCATATAATAATAATAATAATTTAACCTAAAGGCCTGGCTAATTTTTAACTGTAGAGCAACATTTATCTAACAGAATATAGTTTAACAAAAATTATTGCTTCTTTAAATTATTATTTAACTATTGTACAATTATTATATTGTTCAAGTAATTAATGAAAGAATCAAGTAAAATTGTATTAAAAACTATAAAATAAATAATTTCATGGTATATTCATTTTGTTCAACTCATATAATGTGTAGTTACATTAACACATCTGAAATAAATTTAAAAAGTAATTTTTTGGCCAGTCGTTTCACAAGATAAAATAATTTCTACAAACATGAAAATGGAAAAAGACACTTGATATTAACAAATGATGTGTAATATTTTCAATTATCAGATCATGTACAATACATCATTATACACATGAAAATTTTAGTATTTAATTCCTAAATAAATAATAATGAATCATAAAGTATATAATTTTTATACTTTGGTATCATTGTTTGAAATTTGATGTTAACCAAGCAAGGCCTTCATGTAAACCATCACCAGTAGTAGCACATGATGGTTGAACATACCAGTTTCTATCTCGTATCCTAGTTAATCCAAGCTTTTCTTGAATTTCATGAGGTTTCATAGCTATATAAGAATAATATAAGCTTAATTCGTTATTTAGTAAAATTATTCTCATGAATAAGTATTCAATTAATTTTTTTTTAATAATACAATATATTTGACAAATTGTAATACATTTATCATCACTGGTGTAATATATGTGTTATAATATTATTATGTTATATTACAACAAAAATTAGATTTATTATTAATTTTTGCTATAACAAAAAAAAAACTAACTATAGACTAGTTAAAAAGTTGTAATAAAAGTTAATGGTTAAATGGATTAACTGTTTGTATAAAGAACTAAAAGAAAAAAGTTACAGAAATGGTATCCAATGTATATAAGTAAAATTAATTATTTTATACCATAAAATCACTATATTTCCATATTGTATGCTAGAAAATGTCTTAGTTATTTTAAATATTATTTAATATCTTTTAATAAATACTGTTTTAATTAACACACAAAAATTTATTTTAATTAATACTGGTCAATAATTGGATAATTTTAATTTTAAATTTTGACATGACTTACCAGTTATGTCAAATTGATTGTTGAAAGTTGAATATATCATAGATAAAAAAAAAAGGCGTTTTACATAATTAGGACACAAAGCATCATCCTAATAAACCTTAAAACGAGGTTACCATGAACTTATATATAAGATACTTATTAGTGTTAATACTATTAATTAACTAAAATAAGCGAGTTAAAGAATTTTGGGGGTTTTTATCGCCCATATTAAAGATACTTACCATTTGTAAGATCTTGTTTATTAGCAAAAATTAAGATAATAGCATCTCTCATTTCTCTATCATTTATTATTCTATGAAGCTCTTGCTTAGCTTCATCAATACGGTCTCTATCAGCACAATCCACAACAAATATTAAACCTTGAGTACCCGTGTAGTAATGTCTCCATAATGGTCGAATTTTGTCTTGGCCTCCAACATCCTTAAATGATTACACAAGTACTTTATTTTAATGTATAACATGTATAGATAAAACTATTGGTAATACTTACCCAAACATTAATTTTTACATTTTTATAGATGACAGTTTCAACATTAAAACCTACAGTAGGAATTGTAGTCACAGATTGACCCAATTTGAGTTTATACAAAATAGCTAATCATAACATAGGAATATTTATTCAATAAACATTTTTAACTTAAAAATACATTTTTCAAAAATCTTTTAAAGTTATTAATTTTGAGATTAAGTTCTGAGATTATATATCACACTTTTAAAAAAATATTATCTACTTTAAATAAGACAAAAATAAAAAAATGTATATATAAGAATTTATTAATTTTAAGGTGATGAGAGGAAGAGAGTGTCACACATACCAACTCAAAATTTTTTTATTGTTTTAGTTGTTTTGTTTTTTAATATATAAAAGATATTGCCAAATAATAATTATTAAAAAATGTTACACTATTTAAAAATTATTAAATCAACAAAAACAAATTTTATCACCACTCATATTTTTAGCTTTGAGACAGCCCTAAATCTTAATATGAATTATAAGTACAATTACATTTTAAGTATAAAATTACTTTAATTTTACCTACTTAATATGATAATTTAAAATTAACCACAAGTCTTTTTCTTCTTCTTCCTTGCCTTAATCCCAACTACTTGGGGTCTGCCACCCTTATCCTAAACTTCCACTTGACACGATCTTCTACATCCTCTATGCTCACATCAGCTGTCCTCATATCGCAAGTTATTTAAAATTAACCACAAGTGATTAATTTTTTTTTATAAAGTTATGATGAAACTTACGAATAAAATATAATAATACAATAATAAAAAAAAGGATACTAGTTTTACCAGCTGCATCCAAACCTAGCATCAATATTCTCATCTCTTTGTTACCAAAAATTTTGGAAAGCAGCTTCCCCATAATGAAAAACTACCTAAAATTAAATAATCCTATTAAAACCATAAATGCAAAATTTTGGTATTTAAACAATTTTTCAAAATATGTCTTTGATTTAATATGTTAGATGCATTAATAATTTATTAAGCGTTAGCTTCAAATTAATTTTTTAAAATAGCACATTTTCTATTAATAATAGATACATACAATCATTAGTTAGACTAGTAGAATGTTTGAAAATATCATTATCATAAGGTATTTCAACTTTAATATAATTTAATAAATCATATTTTTTATGAATTGTATATAAGTAAAAAAAAATATGACTAGCAAAATATAAATCAAAATTAAATGACAAAAAAAAAAAATATTTTATTCAGTTTTTTATATCAGATAAATTTTAATAATAAAAAATAATATTCGTTATCAAACCTAAATGTCATTTGACCACACTTCGTTCAAATAGAATATTTTTTGATAAGATTTTGTCAGTAAAATTATTACTGTTTGATATCCACCCTGATAGCATTTTTAAAAATTAACAATAAATAAACATTGAAATTATTTTTTTTTAATACTTAAAAGAATGCATACATAATAGTTATACATACATATATTCTAATTATGTTTATAGACATTAATCAAATTTATAACCATAGGATAGGGGAGGGCTAGTGGAGCTTAGCCCTCTCGCCAAATAATTAGCAATATGCATTGTAATATAAAAATATTTTAGAGGTAGAAAAATGTAATTTAGCCCCTTAAATATTTCAACACCCTACGCCTTGGCTATTTTTATAAAAAGGTACTATTTAGTAAATATAATTATTATTTCTTTATGACAGGGAATTTGAAGAAAAAGAGGCAACTAATGGGTCTCAATGGTGTAGCCAAGGGGCAAAGGAAATATTGCACCCCATTAGCAAATTATTACTAAAATAATATGGGACTTTAACACTATTAAGAGTATGTTACATGCCACAAAATAAAGATTTTTCTTAGCTTCCTAAGAAAAATCTAGTCTAAACCACTAGGTCAAATAGCCAAATTTAATTTGAATGATCTGCATAATATATATTTGAACTACTGTTATTTTTTTTATTCAAAGTAAAGTGTACTTTTTAGTACCAAAATTTAATAAATTACTATACATAGGTTAACTCGTTAAATCAACAAGTGGAAAAAACAATTATTATCAGATAAAAAAAATATATTATTTTTTAAATTAATGTGTAATGATGTAACTATAACACATAAAATGTTGTGTTTTGTGATCAATTTGAATTTATTATTAATATTACTAATGAAATATTTAACTTTTACACTTTTATATTATAACTATATAGAGTAAAAATATTATAACTAATGTTCATCATATATTGATTGAGGTGTAGAATCCTAGTCATTAACATGTTAACAATAATATAACATACAACTGCGTCATCAATTGACAATAATTTTAATAAAAATATACCATATTTTATTTTATCAAACTACGGGGTAAATGAGAAATAGTATAAAACACTTACTCTTAAACATTTACGTAGGCAAACAAAATGAGATGTCAAACAAAAACTTGTACGTAAACGACAACAGTAGTATAAAGTATACTCAACATGATTTTCTTAAATTTTTTAATGAAATTTCAATTTCCTATGGAGCCGCTTCCCGTACAAATAACACTTAAAACAAAACAGGAACCGTCGTACCTAGTCAATAAATACAGTTTGATTAAAAGCGTTTGTCGAATATTTTTTATATTTCGAATACATAGGTTTGAAATAAAAATTATTTTGTCGTGAAAATTAAAAGGTCAAAACTGACTAACAAAATATAAAATAAGCCCCGATAAAAACAAACACTCAGAAATTATATATTACTGGAGCAGAGTTGCAACGACAACGACTGGTTAACTCCCTAATGGATTAGCAGGTGGGGAGGGGTAACCGAGTTGGACGATAACAAAACGGAAAGCGATGGACGTAAGCACATCAGAGATGATATGAAGCGCAGTGTAGTGGGCTGTAGTATAGCGCGCGAGTATAACTGTAGTTAGGCACTTACTTGGTCTTGCCGCAGTTTAACCGAAAATTAGATGCGCGGGAAACCATGTTTTTTTATAACAATTCGCACCGTAGCCCATTCTTTGGCGTGAATAACATGAATGGCTGCGGCGTTCCTTTCCAAAAGCTGACATTATTTATAAAGATAAACCCTTAATTTTTTTAACACTATTGACGTTTGAATATTTAGCTTATGTTAATGATACAATTCACCACAGATACTCAAGTATAAAAGTATTAATGGACAAAAATTAAAATACAATTTCGGAAAATACTCTTTTTAGTCTAGATTGAACTTACGGTATCCTTTTCAAGTTAACTCACTAATCAACATGAATATCACCGGGTAGATTGTATTTTTAATCCTTATTGACATAAAATTACGAAAAATATTTTCATCAATTAGCTGATTTATATTCAAAGAAATATTTTTTTATCACCTAGTAAAAATTCCTTAATAAATATAATTAAAAGTTTGATACATGCGAGCATGTATAAAGTGATTCTATTGTCGTGAACCGCTAAACGAAAAATAAAAACAATATCCGGAATTATTTTTATTTAATTAATATTAGTTATGAGTTTTCGCAATTTATCAACAGTATTTTTTATCTTTATAAAAATTTAAAAGATGGCATCTTTATTTATTAAACGGAAAAATATGTAATTGAATAGTTTATATATTAGGGCTCTAATTAAGAAAATAACTATTGGTATTGTATTTCAGTATAGGCACAATATGAGTAGTTAGTAGAGACTTAGCCTCTTCAATAATTATGAAAATTACATGTAAATTTTTATAGAAATATTTTTAAGGAGGGAAAGAATTAGTTTTTTAATATTTTTATTTTTAAAGATACTCAAATATTATTTCAAAAGTTATTAAAACTTATATCTGAGCAGAAGAAGTACGGCTAAGAAGTGTCTATTGATTACAATAACACCTGCGTCTCACCTTCAGCCATTACTATAAAACGTTAATAACTTACGAATTACGGATTCAAAAGTTGTGTATCGAAATCATTTAAATTTTTATAAATATATCATTGGTAGGGATATATATCTTTTAAATATAATCTATTAAATAAGTTAATGAATTATGTATATTTCCATTTGAAAAAATATGTCAACACACTTATAAGGGGTGAACATAAAAATTACTTTATGATTGATAATGAAACAACACATGAAACTAAAAGAAACAAAAAAATTCTCAATATTATTTTTATTTTTTGACTAATCAAGTAGTTCCATAATAAATTAATCACTCTTTAGAATCAATATTAATTGCATTCAAAAACTTTATCTAAAGTGTTTCAATGCAATTAATATAGAAAATATGTTACAACTCTTTTTTTGTATAATCTTATTACTTTTATATTTTATTTAAATTTAAGTTTACATTGAATTTATACAAAAATATTTGTTTAAATTATATCAATATATCTTTCACTAATCAATTGGTATCAAGGTATTTTATTTTTCTGATACCAATTTATATCCAATTAGATACAATGATATGGGCAGCAATAATACAAATAGTGACCCAAATATAGCATTGAGTTTTGTGACTGGCATAGACTTCTTTATTTAATAATTAAGAGACTTTTATAATATTAAGACAAATGTTTTATAACCACTAAATAGTTAAATTAACGTTAGTTTTTGAGAAATAAAATATATTGTATTTTATCATATCAAACATATTCATATTTTACTATAAGAGATTCTGCGCTTTTCTTAAAATAAAATAATTTCCAAAGAAAATTTAAAACATTAGTTCCCAGCATACATGGATTGATTAGACCAGTTGCCGAGATAATCTCGGGAGGCTTTTTTAATTAGTAATTTGTTGTAAATATTTTAACTTATTATAAAATATTTTATAAGATTGCATTTATATTCCAAATGCTGATGACAGTTTCACCTATTTTTTTAGACGAATGTAAACAAATTTAAGGGTGCAAAACATTAAAAAGGTTACGAAGGCTCTTGAATCAGGTTCGAGTAAGCCTTTTCTGAAATATTTCTTTAACGGCGTAAAAAATTTGTGCCAAATAAATAATGCAGAACTATTGACTAGAAAGGGGTTTAACTTCTATAAATATAATTAACATTTTCTAATAATATATTAATAAAATTTTATTGAAAATTTAAGTAGGTACATAAGTAATATTTTTTTATCTGAAATTGGTAGTTTATAACTGGTATAAAGATACTATTAGTAATTAAAATCAATGTGCTAAAAGGCTTTAATTGGAATTTGATTGAGAGAAAAATGGTAAAATTAACTTTTATGCTGCGTACAAACTCTGTATGTATACAGGTTTTTTAATTGGATTTTCAAAAAAAGTATATAAAAAGAAATTTTTTTGTCTCTTATATTTACTAATAACACTTTTTTCTGATCGACATTCTGAAACATTTTCAAAATTAAAATATTTTGTATAAATTGTTTTTTTTAGCTTCGATGCGAAGCGGAGAAGGTATTAATTTTACTATGATGTGTTTTTTTTTTTTTTTTTTTTTTTTTTTTTTTT